ATTGTGATAATTTGTTTTGGCCATATCGCCCAGCCCTTCTAGCAAGCAACAATATTTTTTTCATTTGAGCTTCAGACACATATTTAGCTAGGCATAGAAAAATTACTGCCATTTCCCTAAAAAAAAATCATGAAAGAAAAATACATTCAATATATTACGAGCTCCCTCTCGTTTGAGAGCTGGGTGTTTGCTCCCTCAGCTAGAGATTTACTGCTAGCCACTCCAGCATTATACCTTAGATCGAGTTGATGACTTCTCAAACATAGTGTTTTGGGATGCACCATTTCCATCTATGGGCTGGTCTTTCAGAGTGCCACGAGGGCCCCTTAGAATGAGGGCCCCTTAAATCCTATATGGTGAGGGCTTCGCGCGGCAGCCACTGAACAGCATTAATTAGGAAAATAGTGTCAATAATGCAAAATGACAGTAAACACTCATTTTTCAGTTAAAGACAGTTCATCATTGAATTCAGTGATGTCAACATCCAGCTCAGTTTAAATAATATCTTTGCAATCATGTCAACGATAACGCTGGAAATGAAGTGTTACCTGTAAAACAGGTAAGTTTTTTGGGGTGTGTAGCCTAGGCTTTTGGCCGTAGGGGATAATGTCACTGACAGCCGTCTTAACGTCCCAGGGGCAACTCCCATGGCTATGGTAGAGTTGGTACTTAGTGCTCGCCCTTGGTTTTCTGGCATGCACTTCCCTCAGCATGGTGGCGTGGGTATACCGTTCCCCATAGCGACCCCTAGAGGACGCAGTTCGAAGTTCTCTTGAAAGGGAATGTCTCAGGTTACGTATATAACCATGGTTCCCTGAGTAGAGAACGAGACACTGCATCCTCTTGGTTCCCTGCCATGCTTCGGACGCAAGCTTCAGACGAAGAACTGGATGATGTGTTCTCCCAGCGCCTATTTATACTAGAGTCGCACCGGTAGTGACGTCATGGCTGTCGCCGGCCAACGTGTTGTTGGTGTTTTTTGAATGTATGCTTCAGACACGGGTCATGACGAGGCGTTCCCCATAGTGACCCCTAGAGCACGCAGTGTCTCGTTCCCTACTCAGGGAACCATGGTTACATATGTAACCTGAGATATTTTTTTTTTACAATAGTGTTTGTTTACCACAAACTATATTTTGGTCATCCTCGTCATTTTTTGAGCTTTAAAGTGCTGGAAATAGTTCTGTAAAATACTTGAAAGTCATTGAAAAGTGCTTGAATTTTTCTATCAAAAGGTTTTACATTGAATAAAGTAATAACATTCCACTATTTCTGCACAACACCATACTTATAGTTAGCGTAGTCTAGCGTAGCCAGAGCTTCAGACTGACGGCAGAAGGTCTGGGAACATTGGCCACTTTGAATGGCAAGAACCGCCCAAGAAGCCATTTGACTGACAGATAAATCAACCAATCATGTTTTGTTTTGTGCCGCATCATGTTTAGGGGCGTGGAAATGTCCCCACAATAACAGATCATGTGTAAAACTCTTGGATGTATTTTAAAGATTCTATGCCGCGAACTTTAAATATTTCACATACTTTTGAAAATCCAGTGTTTAGTTGATCCTGATAAGCACTCATTGGTTTGGCGTCAACATGAGGGGATTTGGCGTCAAGGCATATTTTTTTCCAGGCGGAATGTTAAAGAACGCGACTTTGGCCGTAGGGGATAATGTCACTGACAGCCGTCTTAACGTCCCAGGGGCAACTCCCATGGCTATGGTAGAGTTGGTACTTAGTGCTCGCCCTTGGTTTTCTGGCATGCACTTCCCTCAGCATGGTGGCGTGGGTATACCGTTCCCCATAGCGACCCCTAGAGGACGCAGTTCGAAGTTCTCTTGAAAGGGAATGTCTCAGGTTACGTATATAACCATGGTTCCCTGAGTAGAGAACGAGACACTGCATCCTCTTGGTTCCCTGCCATGCTTCGGACGCAAGCTTCAGACGAAGAACTGGATGATGTGTTCTCCCAGCGCCTATTTATACTAGAGTCGCACCGGTAGTGACGTCATGGCTGTCGCCGGCCAACGTGTTGTTGGTGTTTTTTGAATGTATGCTTCAGACACGGGTCATGACGAGGCGTTCCCCATAGTGACCCCTAGAGCACGCAGTGTCTCGTTCCCTACTCAGGGAACCATGGTTACATATGTAACCTGAGATATTTTTTTTTTACAATAGTGTTTGTTTACCACAAACTATATTTTGGTCATCCTCGTCATTTTTTGAGCTTTAAAGTGCTGGAAATAGTTCTGTGAAATACTTGAAAGTCATTGAAAAGTGCTTGAATTTTTCTATCAAAAGGTTTTACATTGAATAAAGTAATAACATTCCACTATTTCTGCACAACACCATAGTTATAGTTAGCGTAGTTCAGACTGACGGCAGAAGGTCTGGGAACATTGGCCACTTTGAATGGCAAGAACCGCCCAAGAAGCCATTTGACTGACAGATAAATCAACCAATCATGTTTTGTTTTGTGCCGCATCATGTTTAGGGGCGTGGAAATGTCCCCACAATAACAGATCATGTGTAAAACTCTTGGATGTATTTTAAAGATTCTATGCTGCGAACTTTAAATATTTCACATACTTTTGAAAATCCAGTGTTTAGTTGATCCTGATAAGCACTCATTGGTTTGGCGTCAACATGAGGGGGTTTGGCGTCAAGGCATATTTGTTTCCAGGCGGAATGTTAAAGAACGCGACACATGTCTCCCGGAAAACCTGTATTATTATACCAATCCGATGATGACTTTGAAACTTCCGAAGTGTTTCCAATTTTATCTGCCATATGCATCAGATGTTCAGCCAACGGTCCGTGGGCGTGACGTCTGAGGCTGGGACTGTAGTTAGTGTTACCACTTCTGGTTTTCTACGTCAGTGCTATTTGATCTGATTATAACAGAATTCTGTGCAAAATACGAATGCTTCTCTTATTCATTCTGCGGCGAATTCAAACGCTTCTCACTGAATCTCGCTGCGCTGTGCAGTACAAATGTTGCGAGATCAACACTGGTTTCCGAATAAACCTGTTCTTAGCTCAGACCAGTTCGCTTGCGCTGCTCAATTATTGGTCACAGCTGATGAACGGTCTGCTCTGCGCAGCTCAAACGAGTAGCGCCATTTCATTACGCTTTTGTTTCATTTGCCGTTTGATGTTTCTCATATGCAGTGCTTATGAGTTTGACAAAGAATTGGTCGCACCAGTTTGACCACTTACTAAATTTAGTCGCACCGGCAGAAAAAATGGTCGCAGTCTGGAGAGCCCTGTGTTGGTAATGGAGATTGATTTGTTTTACAGAACAGCAGACACTTGAAGTAGCATTCAGTCATACTTTATTTTTTATATTTTCAGTAGACCAAATATTACTATTTTATACCAGTGGAGGTATGCATGTTTTGTTAATTAATGTCAGTCATAACATTTTTTACTGAATGCACCTTTAAAAACTTGTTTCTAAACTTGATTCACTTTTATTTATGTTGGAAAAATAAACTGTTGAATTGTATTTTAGTTGTGTGATTTGTGATAAAGATATAGACCAAAGTTTCTCAACTTTAGCACTTGAGGTCCATGTTCCTGCAGAGTTTAGCTCTAACCTTGATCAAACGCTGCAAACATGCAGAGTTGTAGAACTGGTGGATCGACAAGAAGATAATGCATTCTAAAAATCTAAACAATTGTTAAATGTATATATGTTATTTAATAAATATATATTATATTAATTAATTGGCTGATGATAATTGTTTAAATTAATATAATAATTGATACTTTTGACATCCATTTTGTCCATCCATCCATCCAAAATTGATTAAAGGCTGAAATGTGAAGTTTACCATTTTATAAAACTTTTTGTTTTTGTGAAAACCTGTATCTGAATTGTAAATCATGCTTTTTACAGTGATCTTGCAGTTTAATATATTACCATAGGTATTGCCCTACCTCCCTCATATGATATTAATTTTATTTGTGCAGGTCTTAAAAAGTCTTAAATCAGAGCTTAAAAATTCTGCAGATACTCTGTATTATAAGCATCTATGGATTTGTTTTTTCCACTTATGTGACAGTTTAGGAAGTGAATAAAGTGGAAGGTTGCAGGTTAGGGTCAATAAGCGATATCTTTATATTATTTCCAAAACTCAAGATTTGGACAATATATATATATATTTTTTCGTAGCAATATCTGGCAACACTGTATCGCAGGCACTTAAACTGACAGTAATCAAAAACAGCCCATAAACAGTGCGGGCAGGTTATTCCTGAAAGGATACCACATTCGTTAACTCAAACGTAGTGTTCATCATGATATTATCTGTAAGAAACGGTATCAACCAGGGCTCGACATTAAAGACAGCCTGATGGGCCTTGGCCAGTGTGACACTGAGGACAGTTGATGGATTTGTCACTGGCTGGATCAGCCCACCGCTGCGTCATCACAAAATGGGCCAAGGCTCTCGTCAGTGAAAAGGACTGGCGAAAGGGGCGACGGCCCCAGACTGAGTCGTCACCATCAAGCGGCTCGCTGGTAGCAGTGGGCCTCGTCCCCGTAAGGCCACGAGCGATGCTCCACCGAGTCCTCAAAACGTGCGTCAGCAAGTCAGCGCAGTGCACGCAGTTGGACTCAAAAGTATGCCGCCTCAGCATGGAAACACTATATTGCTGATGTTCTATAAGCGCCACATGCTGTCAAAAAGAGTGAATTAGCATTTTCATTCAGCCCCTCCTCTGTTTTTTTTTGTGCAGTTGCCTCATGTTGCAGATATTTTTTGTTTGTTTAAGGTCAGTTTGGCCAGTAACAAAGCAAAATAAACAATTAAGAAATAAAAATAATAAAAACAATAAAAATGAAGTAAATCGCCAACCAGTATGGAAATCACCGTATTTGGTTGTGAAAAAAATTGGAATCGGTCATGACAAATCCTGCATCCTTAACTGGAATACAGTTAGACCTAACTGAAAAAATGAAAATGAAAATGGTTAACATTTATTACATTTTAAGGTTACGGAGGAGTTTTTCCTGGGACCACACAAGGATCTGGTGCGCCAACTTGTACAAGGGGCACGAACGCAGACATCCCTGGTGGTTGATGTAAGAGACCACCGCTGTGTTGTCGGTGCGCACCAACACATGGGTGCGCACCGATTCAGTGCTCGAAACATGGCCAGCATCTCCAGACAATTCATATGCCACGGCAGATGGTGACCACTCCACAGACCGCGGGCAGGGTGGCCACTCATGACCTTACCCCAACCGGTGAGGGTCCGTCGCTAGCGTTACGCTGCGACAAGGAGCTCCCAGCACTGGGCCCTGAGACAAGAACCAAGGTTTCCTCCACATGTCTAAGGCACGTAGGCATCTCCGTGTGACCTTGAACATGCGAAGTGGGTTTCCGCTCGGGGAGAACCCCCTGGTCTTGAGCCACCACTGTAGGGGTCTCATATACAGCAGGCCAAGAGTAATCATGTTGGACGCAGCTGCCATCAGACCCAGCAGTCTTTGAAACTACTTGACAGTGAGTGACTGGCCTTCTGTCACTTTCTTGACTGCAGTGAGGATCGACTCGATCCGAGCAGGGGACAAACGTGCCTGCATTGTGGTCGAATCCCACACCACGCCCAGATAGGTGGTCCTCTGTAATGGAGAAAGCACACTCTTCTTGGCATTTAGTCTTAACCCCAAGTCTCTCATGTGAGCGAGAACGACATCTTGATGTCGAACCGCTACCCGCTCTGAATGAGCTAAAATCAACCAATCGTCGATGTAGGGGTTTCCCCTCGGGGAGAACCCCCTGGTCTTGAGCCACCACTGTAGGGGTCTCATATACAGCAGGCCAAGAGTAATCATGTTGGACGCAGCTGCCATCAGACCCAGCAGTCTTTGAAACTACTTGACAGTGAGTGACTGGCCTTCTGTCACTTTCTTGACTGCAGTGAGGATCGACTCGATCCGAGCAGGGGACAAACGTGCCTGCATTGTGGTCGAATCCCACACCACGCCCAGATAGGTGGTCCTCTGTAATGGAGAAAGCACACTCTTCTTGGCATTTAGTCTTAACCCCAAGTCTCTCATGTGAGCGAGAACGACATCTTGATGTCGAACCGCTACCCGCTCTGAATGAGCTAAAATCAACCAATCGTCGATGTAGTTGAGTATGCGGATGTCCTGGAGTCGCAACGGAGCCAGAGCAGCATCCACACACTTCGTGAGAGTACGGGGTGAGAGTGCAAGGCCGAAAGGAAGAACACGATATTGGCAAGCTTTGCCCCCAAAAACGAACCTCAGGAACTTCCTATGATGCGGAAGGATGGAGATATGGAAGTATGCAACTTTTAGATCGATCTTGACAAACCAGTCCTCGGACCTGATCTGAGACACGACTTGTTTGAGTGTGAGCATTCTGAACTTCAGTCACATGACTGAGCTGTTCAATAGGCGCAGATCTAAAAAAGGACGCAACACCCCATCCTTCTTCGGAACAATGAAGTAACAGCTGTAGAACCCAGAGTCTCGTGCAGAGGGACCACCTCAATGGCCTCCTTCTTTAAGAGAGTAACTACTTCTTTTTCTAATACCAGAGCCTGCTCGGGACCCACTAGAGTGGGGGTGACCCTGTTGAATCGAGGCGGATGAGAACCGAACTGGATTCTGTAGCCTCTTTCTACAGTACGCAAGACCCATTGAGACACATTTGGCAGTAGCTTCCACGCTGCTAAATAATCTACTAAGGGAATCAGTCTCTCGAGACTGATCTCTGGTGTGCCCAGAACGGCTAGCTGCTCTGGGGACCTCCGCAGAGGCCGCGAGCCTCTCAGTGCCACTACGTTGCCAGGCGGTAACTGAAAGAAATGCTCGCTGGAGACCGCTGCGCCCTGGAACACCGGCAGGGTTGGCAGAACGATCTCCCGAGGGCACTGGGGGGAGACGGGCACCGTGTAATGTGGTTGTGAACCTCTCTTCCCCAGAAGGGCCTGCCCTCGCCAGTCCTGCACCCAAATAGTCAGGACCGTTTGGTCGAGGACCTCTTAGCCTGAAGGACGGTCCGCAGATCCGGCTTAGGCTTTGAAGCCCCCGACTCAGAGTGTTGCTTCTGCCTCCGGTCCCGACGTGGGGGAGCGTGGGCTGCAATGCTCTGTTTTTGAGTCTCCCTATATGAGGAGCTGGTACGTGGTGGGGACTGCTCCCACCCAGCAGCCACCAGAGCTGAGATGCAGCAAGGGAGGAACTGCTGAAACGCCGCCGCCTGTTTACGAGCCTCCTGGTCCCTGTCGACGGTGGAATTGACAGTATCGCCGAACAGGCCAGAAGGCGCAAGCGGGGTGTCGAGGAGGAAGACCCTGGTACGCTTGTAACACCGACATTGTGTGCAGACATGCCTGACCTGCTGCCGCGTACCCCTTGCTCACCAGCGCTGATGTTGTACGCAGCGGCTTGAAGGGCAGTGTCGGAGCCTTTAAGGACGATGCCATGCCTGGGGACAGATAGCTAGCTAGCGTTAGGCCTTTTTCGGCCCGTCTCTTCATCCCTGCCTCAGATTATTATGGGAATCTATCGCCCTATAGCCACGCTCAGTCAGCCCCGCCACATTCCCATAATAATCTGAGGCAGGGATGAAGAGACAGGCTGAAAAAGGCCTGGCCCACGACCTCGACACTTCAGTGAAAAATGGCAGCCTCCAGCATGGAAGTGGTGGCCTCGCGTGCAGGAACCGTTCATCTAACTTGCTTCGCTGCAGCTCGGCCTGCTTCTCGGTCTTTAATTTAGTCACGGCGCGAGTAAGCACCTCCACTAGCTCCTCATACTGAGGCGATTGAGGGGGCGAAACCTCTTCGACAGCCTCCACGTCAACCTCCTCGGAGGAAGACAGGTGGAGCGTCGAGCCCACACCCCGGGAGGAAGTAACCGCAGAACGGGCTTCCGAACCCAGAGATCAGGCACTGAATCTGGCGGGTGAGGAAGGAGAATGACAGAAAACTGACGCCAGCTCTGCCGCACGTGCTTTTATAGCTTCCTGGTCATGACGTCACCCGCCCGTGACGTCTCGCCCAGCTATTGGACTGATTTCACATGTGATTCAGAGCGTGGTCACAGAAGGCGTTCCCGAAGCGTTCTCCGACGCAGCTCGAGTTCCTGAAGAGGAAGCTCCGGAGCCTGGGAAGTCACCTGTAGGAAAAAAAATAATAAATCCGTGGCGACGGTTTTGCAAAACATCCCCTCAGTTTATAAACCGTACTCTCGAATTCTTAAACTGTTCCCTCGGTTTAACAAATCGTGCCCACGGATTAATAAACAGTACCCACAAATTTCCAATCCATGCTCTCAGATTTTGTAAATTAAAAATAGCTTCGGTTTTTCAATCCGTAGCCACAAATTCATAATCAGTGCGCACGCTTTCGCAATCCATTCCTGGTCGCCATATTTCTTGAGAAGTTTATGAATAAAAGGATTTCATCACATATAAACTGATAAGGTTGTAGGTTATTTTGGAGGAAACGTGAAAATATTTCAGTATACTACTTAAACCCACACAAAAGAATTAAAAAATAGTGTAAAACCCAGTAAACTTGAGATTATGACTTGTGACATTAGAACTAAACATAGGCTACTGTATGAATATGATAACATATATATAACACTAAATTGAACAATACTGATTATTGATTATAATACTGATACAAACGCTGATGAATGGTACACCACAAAACATCTTCAGCTTTTGGTTTTATTGTTAACCAAAAAAAAAAAAACTTTGGGCAAATAGTGTTAAATGCTATTTAAATGAATTCTAATTTTAAAAATTACATTTTAGATACATTTTCTAATTTGAATAAACTTTATATAAAACAAAAACTTTTTGTATTTATTTCTTGTAAAGTTTTTTTTTGTAGTTTTGTATTTCCTACAGGTCAGGGGGAGGGAAGAGGTATACAAAATGGAAACTGAAGTTTCTAAGCAGTTGTACACATCTCATTTTTCTCTTTTTTTTGCATTCAGAATAGGTCCAGATAGATTTCAGCCAATAGGGATGCCTACATTGGATGGCCAATTTCACATGTATTTTGTGTATTTTCAAAATACAAAATACTGTATTTGTATTTAAAAACATTTTTCCACACAGTATTTTGTGTTTTTATTTTAAATAAATTTTCATGTATTGATGCCCATCTCTGTTTACAGGTCTTGTTACGCCCCGTCTAGCGGTAGAGCGCAACATGAAAAAAAAAACCAGCGTGACCAATCAACTTCTTTTTGTTAATATTTATTAAATATTATTATATAAAGACAGCACTGTTTAGATAAGGGCTCAAGAGACCGCTTCTTAAAACCCTAAGCAGGGGAGCGATCACGGAGCTAGCACATAGCTATCCTCAGATAGCTAGGTTCTAGGAAAGGGGCCCACTACATGAGAGGGCTCACCGCAATTGCAGTAGAACACAGATAGCTGTATTCAAGTAAGCCCGTCCTGCCAAAAACAATGGCTAGAATATAACTACCCTCAGAAGGCTATACCTAGGATTACCTCAGGAAAAAACATGCGTAAGTATTTTTTATTAAACTACTTGTATTAGTTTTCACATAACTTGTACACATTTTACTAGTTAGACTTTCTCCAAACTATAATTCCTGACTAAATGTATAATCAAGTGAAACATTATGAAGTTTCATTCACAGCATCTAAATGTCACGATGCCAGGATGTTTTTTTATGTTCCATAACAGACAGAAATACGATGTAAAAGTAATATGAGTTATAATGTTACTAGCCTAATGTCAGTAAGAATGATTAGTCAAAACTTTACTGTGGTAGGATATTCTCTGTTCACGAATATAGCCATATATGTTTATAATTATAGTTTTTGGATTGTATAGGCCTACATGCAAAGCATGCTTGTGTTTATGAATGTAACTAAGCTTCTGTTCATGAATATCTGCTCTGGTCTAAATATTTTGAATGTGTTATACCTGTGTCTTATGGAGTAATGACGCTGAAATGTTTGAAACTGTTTTAATTTTCGTTTAGGACTGTGGCTGCATCACCGGCATCTTGCACAAGAAAGGCACACGCACGTCGTTCAGTTTTGAGTTCGCTGGAAAGTCCAGTACAGTATAGTAATTGTATTATTTATTATATTAAAATATGTGGTAATATTATTTGTGGGTGCTACTAAACTTAGTCATTAAAATGTTTATTAGCAACTGAAAAAAGCACAAATGTCAGGACATATCAAAACTTCTCCAGGGCCCAAAACACCCTCAGACCTCAGAGGGTTAAGGAGGTCCCCAATCCATGTCAGTCTCACAGTAATCTAGCAAAGCCCCGTGCTATTGACTAAGATCTCACAAGAGGGAGATCCAGGCCATCAGTAAATGATTCGCTAAAAAGTGAACACAAATATCATAGTCCAAGATCAAGCCTGATGTAAGCGGTAGCCATAGCACTAGAGGGCTGGACACAGCTATCCTCGAATAGCAGTTCTCTCAGATAAGGCTGAAGATTACCCAGGCCATGGAAGCGGGCCATCTTTTTAAAACCCCGAAGGGGAGACAGCACAGTCCAGGCAATGAGCTCACAGAGACCACAATCTAAAAACCCCAAAAGGGAAGCGTTCTCCGTGCTGGAAGACAGCTATCCTCGAATAGCAGATTCCTAAACAAATGCTTCAGCACTTACTTGAAAACTTGTGCCAAGGGGAACCCAACCTAGTTATTAGAATCTAGGCTAGAATATAGCTGCCC